GACCATGATCCACCTGAGACCATGATCCACCTGAGACCATGATCCACTTGAGACCATGATCCACTTGAGACCATGATCCACCTGAGACCATGGTCCACCTGAGACTATGATCCACCTGACACTATGATCCACCTGAGATTATGATTCACCTGAGACTATGATCCTCCTGAGACTATGATCCACCTGAGACCATGGTCCACTTCAGACCATGGGCCACCTGAGTCCGTGATTCACCTTAGACTATGATCCACCTGAGACCATGATCCACCTGAGACCATGGTCCACCTGAGACCATGGTCCACTTGAGACCATGATCCACCTGAGTCCATGATCCACTTGAGACTATGATCCACATGAGACTATGATCCACCTGAGACTTTGATCCACTTGAGACTTTGATCCACCTGAGACTATGGTCCACCTTAGATTATGGTCTACTTGAGACTATGATCCACTTGAGACTATGATCCACCTGAGACCATGGTCCACCTGAGACCATGATCCACCTGAGACCATGATCCACTTTAGACTATGATCCACTTGAGACTATGATCCACCTGAGACTATGATCCACCTGAGACTATGATCCACCTGAGACTATGGTCCACCTTAGACCATGATCCACCTGAGACCATGGTCCACCTGAGACCATGATCCACCTGAGACCATGATCCACCTGAGACCATGATCCACTTGAGACTATGATCCACCTGAGACTATGATCCACCTGAGACTATGGTCCACCTGAGACCATGATCCACCTGAGACCATGATCCACCTGAGACCATGATCCACCTGAGTCCATGGTCCACCTGAGACCATGATCCACCTGAGACCATGGTCCACCTGAGACCATGATCCACCTGAGACCATGATCCACCTTAGACCACGATCCATCTGAGACCATGGTCCACCTGAGACTATGATCCAGATGTTCTGGTTCTGTCACATGACTGTCTCCTTCTGTTAACAAGTCTCATTGATCCAGACTAAGACTGACTCTTTATTTGTGTTGAAGTTGGAACAATGTGCTGTTGAGTCCTTGACACCAAAAACAAAAACAGAAAGAACTCTATCATAAACTTCATGGTGCTTTTAGATAAACATCATATAATCAGAGGTTAGTCGCTCTGTTCCTGTTTTCAGACGTTCCACAAGGAGTGTGAACTTTGGAAACATTTGTGACTCAAGCACCAAGAATGATATAAAAACATGGGCTCTTTATTTACTGTGTTTATTTCAAAAATCCCTCTGGCTTTTGTTCTTTTTTTTAGTCGTTGAATGTATATTGATAACTGCCGTGTTTTACTTTTAATTATTAAAAATAAAATAAAACGTAAAACTCTCCTGCCTGTGACTACGCAGTGCTTCCTGTGCCCGGTCCCTGGCCTGACATCATCAGCCTTCAATAATCGTCGACCTTGTGCTTCGCTGGCTTGTTAGTTAGTTTGTTTTAGCCTTGCGTGGCCCAAATGTATAAAACAAAAGCATTGTATTGTACGACAGTGATTATTTGTTAGGAGCACATGGGACTCTAATGGTGTGCATTGTGTCTCCAGGAGCGTCCAGTGACTTTGACAGTGCCACCAGAATTGCTCAGATGATGGTGACCAGATATGGGATGTGTGATAAGGTAGGCTGCAAAACAAGCGGAATGAAACACGTCCATGTTTCCACTATTGCAGTGAACTTATGCTCCTGTCTCTCAGCTGGGTGTAATGACGTACTCTGACATGACTGAGCAAAGTCCACACACACAAGCTGCAGTGGAGCATGAAGTCCGGCTCTTACTAAAGGTCCGCCTCGTCTCATGAACCTCACTCTCAGTAACACGTGTGCCTCGTGTCAGTCATGTGTGTTCTCCTGCTGTCCTCAGGAGTCGTACGAACGAGCCAAAGCCCTTCTCAAGTCTCACGCCAAAGAGCACAAAACGCTGGCCGACGCCCTGCTTCTGTACGAGACTCTGGACGCCAAAGAGATTCAGCTGGTCCTGGAGGGAAAACCCCTGGAGAGCAGATGAAGTCAGCAGGGACGGGTGGGGCCGAGGGCGGGGGTGAAAAGACCCAGGGCCAGGTCTAAATGTTTATGGCAGCAGGGACTCATCAATATGTCCCTGATTAGTGGTGTTGGTATGTGAAGTAAGAGAGAAGCAGGTTTCAGTGTTGCTCACGTCACTTTATTAGTTTGTTGGACAGAATGAATGTCAACCCAAAAACCATCAACATGCATCTCACTGGGAGATGAACTGTGGAAAACCA